GAGGAGGAGGAGGAGGAGGAGGAGGAGGAGGAGGAGGAGAAGGAGAAGAAGAAGAAGAAGGAGAAGAAGAAGAAGAATTGTGCCGAGCTATGCCTTGCTTATTCAGGGGGACCGTAGAGGAGACCCTGCATTACTTTGGCCTTACTTATGTGACATCTAGCGCCCAAGGTGGCGCCAGTATTCGGGGAGGCATGCAACAAGCCCATCCTTGTTTCAGGCCAACAGGGAGGAATTTAGGTCTATTGAATGAATCTTTGAGCAAGTGAAGGAAATAGTAAATTGTCATTACCAGGTTTATAGTTTCCTCATTCCTCCCAGGCACATTATTTCCGTTATAACTCCTAACCATCCTATGAAACATATAGGACCACTCTCATTTTTACAGCTGAGGAAGCAGAGCCACTGTTCACCTAAAGAAACCAGCTTGCCCTCGTTCACTTAAAGAAAAAAATGGCAGGTTAAAATCTAGGTCCTCTTTGCTGTAGGAACCATATTTTTTCCCCCATCAGGCATCATGGCAAGCGGTGGGTTTGGTGCCCTCACGCATTTCACGAGAATGGCTTCCTACATACTCTTCCTGTAAATGCTATTGTCTGCATCTGTTGAGATAAGGAAACGGACAGGAGTCAAGGAAGCTTCCCAAAGCACATTTAATTATTCAGCAAGTAACTTTCGTGCACCTGCTGCATGCCAGGGACCACTAAAGGCAATGGGGATACAGAAGTGAACGGTATACACCACACAAAGTCTCTACCCTCCACAAGCGTCCACTCTCACAGGGGACACAGAAAAACAAGCAAGTTAATACAACAATTGCAAATGGTGATAAGTCCTTTCACACAGCTAGAAATTGATGGAGACCAAACTGGGACCCAGGTCTGAGACACAGGGTTTGTGAAACAGGAAGGAACCAAGCAGTAAGAGGTGGGACTAGAGCAAGCTCAGAAGTTTTCAAGCAGGAATGGCAAACCTTTTCTGTCAAAAACCAGATATGCAATAGGTTCAGCTTTGAATGCAGAATGAGACAATGCAGAAGCGGGGGCGGGGGTGGCCGTGTCCAGTATATGTCTCCCATGGACACTGATGTGTCAATTTCGCACACACTCTACTCATACCTCACAAAATACAATTTCTCGTTCGATTTTTTTTTTAGCACTTGAAAATGTAAAAACTATTCTTGGGTTATGGCCCCAGAAAATACAACCAGCTGGCCACAGTCGCCAACCCCGGTGGTCAGAGGGAGAAGTCGGTGGAGACAGAGCTCGTCCTCACTCTTAGAGGAGAACAAAGGTGGAATCAAGGAGCCACAAAGTCATAATAATATGTGCTTTTCACAACTACACACTCCTGTGGCTCAGACTGCCTACTTAGCCGTGTTCTTTGCTTTAAACCTCATTTCAAAATCCTTGAGCAAAGCATGCTATCTGCTGATGACAATGGCCCCAGGGTACCAAAAGAGCAATGGACGGAGTGTCTTAAAGCAACTTAAACATTAGCCAGAATAAATACCTCTCGAATGCCAACATGGTAGGGATGGACCCTCATTGGGTCCAGGATGCATAGCCCTGTGTCTCAGATATTTATTCTGGTCAGCTCTGCCCACCTATCACAAACCTGCCCGCTGACATCAGACCCACTGGGGTGAGGGTTGGGAGGGCGGTGGGATGTCCCCTTCCACCGCCAGACCCAAATCTGGTGGGCGCCCCCACTCCATCCTAGTCCTGGTCTAACTCTCTTTCTCAATGCACCTCCACCAGGCGATGAATCCAGCGGCTCGGGCAGTGGCAGTGGGTGCATGGATGACGTATGTCCCACGGAGTTTGAGTTCGTCACGACAGAGGCCCCTGCGGTGGACCCCGACCGGAGAGAGGTGGACTCTTCGGCAGCCCAGCTCGGCCCTTCCCTGCTCTCAGGATCTCTGGTCTGCGTCGTCCTGGCACTGCAGAGACTGTGCAGATAATCCTGGGTTTTTGGTCAGAAGAAACTGCATTTTAGCTATCCGAATGGCCAACTCACTTCTTTTCTTACACTCTCGGACAATGGACCATGCCACAAAAACTTAATGTTTTCTATGAGAAGAGACAGGACTGCACTCTGCCTCCCTTTCTGTTTGCCCAAAGAGTACTGGGTGCCAGACTGAACTGCTTCCTCTTTCCTTCCGCTCTCTGTGGGGACCTTGTTTATTCTAGAGAATTCATACTCAAATCTTTCGTACCAGGAGATTTTCTTACCTTCATTTGCTTTTATGCTGCAGAAGTAAGTAAAGGAATCTCACATTGTGAGTTTTTTTTTTTTCTTTTTCCCATTTAAAAGAAAAGAAAAAGGCAGGAAGAAAATAATTTTCCTTGTAAATCAGGCCAAACCCCCCAAGACAACCGCATTTTCAACAAAGGAGCCAACAAGAGAGAAAAACAAAAGAGCTTTAACACTGTTAAGTTCAGCATCGCCCACCGACTCCCAGTGTAAGATTTTCTGTGATAAATCGGGTTTCCGAAATGCTTTGAGGGAGAAAGTTTGAGATTTTTTTTTGTTTGTTTAATGTGGTGAAAATACAGTGTTGTCTTGGAGGTACCATCTTGAACTCTAGCCACACAATGCAAAACTGATTCGTGGGTACCGATACTAAATTTAGAACTCCATCGTTAATAGGAGAGTAAAATTGCCACAACCCAGCACCTCTCTCTCACCTTACCCAATGTCAATCACAATGATGGCACCATTTTCCTTAATTCTCTTAGTGTCTGTCCCCTGTATCCAATTGGCACAGTTTTTCTTTTCATCTCCAAGGACCTAGTGGATGTTTCCATCCATTCATCTTCCTTAAGGATCTGAATTGGAAATAATCTTCAGTGATACAATGGCTTTGCTTTAGCCACAGGTTGGACATTGATTTGACGTTTCTGCCCCTGTGCTCATTACTGTCTCAGAATAAGAGCTCTTTTGATGAACTTATAAGCAATTAGATCCATAAGTGAGTTTTCATATTTAACGGTTTGCTTTGTGTCAGTTGGTTTCTGCATCACAAGGGCATTCTCTTACAAAATAACTCACAACAAAAACTATCAAGACAAAAAAATATATATATATATATATAGTATTGACATGGAGATTTCTTTCACTTTTTTAGTCTTAGTATGATCATCTATTTTTATATCTCTATATATATAAATCGCAGATTTTAACTTCTTAATTCCAAGCTCAGGGTTGACACACCTTTGTAACGAAAATGTTTTGTCAACCACCTCTTCTTGTTTTGTGCTGCTCAGAGAAGGGATTCCTCAACGATCTGTGAGCACCAAGAATCAAGAAAGAGAACTTTTTACGTATCTAACTGTCCGTTTCTTAAAAGTTTGCCAGGGCACACCCTTTTTTGCATGAGCGTGCTTTGTCCTGGGTGCTCCGGATGGTACCAGGCTCGCGGGGGCAGCCATGGGCATGCAGGACTGTCCTGGTAATGGAAACCATAGAATGTGGTGTACGTGCAAAACCGTTGCTTCCACGGACGCCTTCAGCCTAGGATTCCCGCTTGGCACTTGGACATGGGACCTAACTCAAGAGGTGACTTTAGAGCCACAAGCCTAACTGACCCTCCAAGTGTACCAAAGCCAGGCCCTATGCTCCCCGTGGTAGAGAGAAACAAAATAAACCAAACTGGGGCTTTATTCACACGGTTGGCTCTCCATGTGTTTCTTGGTTTTGATGATGATCTGGGGTTGAGAAAAGTAATGTTTCGAGACACCACCATATGCCAGTCACATTTTATTTAACCCATTGGCAGAAATACGTAAATGGTATTTTTTTTCGATCTTTGCTCTCATCAAAATTATAATTAGTTATTGATTTAGTCGTCACATTTAAGTAGAACACATGTGGCACAATAGTATTAAGTACATTTGAGCACTTTTGCAAAACTTCAAAGTATTCAGAAGCATCTACGGCTATTTGATGCCTAAAGAAATATAAGAAGTAGGATTCTGAGAGACTTTGTGGCATCTTTTCATTTAAATCTTCATGAAATTAACACCTAATCTGATTCAGCATTACATCCTTCTAGAAAACCATCCATTTCACTGCCAGACTTCAGCTTCCTATCACCAATCACTCAGAAAAGATCTCTATGGAGGACCAATCATTTACATTGCCCTTTTCGTTGTTCAGAAATCAGTATTGTCTTTTCTCCAATAATTAAGGTGCAATACAAATTAAATCAATCTTGATTTTCCAGATTATTTGAGTAATAACTTATTTTTATGGCTTTAAACTCCAAGTCTTTCCTTTTTTCAATAGTTCTGCATTGTCTTCTGTGAAATCGATCAGAATGCCTTGTTTCCTCTCTGCTCTCACCCCAAAAGGCTTTGTGCAAGTGTATAAATACACATTATATTAATGAATGTGAACCCATGCTCCATATACACTAAACACACAGATAACATATACACGCCTGCTTCATTTGTCTCAACACCTTCATGATCGATATTACTCCTATTGGTGAGATACAGTGATCTGTACGAGCCAGGCAGAGAGCTAAAATGACTCTCAGTTAATGATGCCACAATATTCGTCCTCTGCATGAATGTGGTCAAAGTATTATTCAAATTGCACTTCCTAGTTTTTATCATCATCCAACTATGTTGTAGGATTTTCAGACCAATGTAACGTGAGACTTGTTTTCTGTCCTAAAGGATTTAGTCTAATCTAGTTAATCTAGTTATCCCATTTTGGTAAGTATTCCAACATTCCTCCTCTCCCCCGCCCCCTGCCATGTTAATTTCTCTCGTCTCAACATAGCGATTGGGGATGAAACGATGCTCCGTTATGTCTCCCAATCTGCCCTCATTTACTTTGATGTTCCCTAAATTCTCTAATCACATCACAACCTCTGTTAGGAGTAGGGAGGAATGGGCTCACTGAAATCAGACACTAGAAATTGTTGGGTGACGCTTATGACCGCAAACACTTAGCTTTATTGAAGTGCCTCTCTTTACATGTTCTTTAGTTATAATATGTATTTTTCTAACAGAAATACACGTCTGTAACTGGTGTATATTATACTTTGTATATGTTATAGCAAAAGCTAAACAGAGGCTAAAGTCTTTAGCAGAGAAGAATGAGTTGCAAATTCATGAGTTAGAGCTCTGCTTACGGTTCTATTTCAAAGGGTAGCCATGACAGACTTGTCACCTTAATGACGGTCGAGGGGGTACTGTGACGACCATCATCATAGAACAACGTTAGCTCTAGCAATCAGACTCTCTTACGGTGATTGACCCAGAGAAGTAACTGGTATTACCTGCTTTCATTGTAAGGGATAAGAAATACAACTTTGTCTACACTGAAAAACACTATTAAGTAGTAATTGTAAAAGTAACATTCTATAAATCAAATGCATTGAAAATATTATTGGACACAGAACCCTGATATTTAATTTATATTACCTGCTGCAGACATTAGCCTACTTTAATGCTTTAGCCATTACATACATGTTTTGGCTACACACTGAACACCAACTAAGGTCCCCAAGGAGGAATAGAAACTTAGCAAATTCCTGAGTTGTGATTCTTTTATTGCTTCTCTTTGCAAGGCTAATTATCAGGTGGTTTGATTAAAGGTGGAAGTATTAGCAAATGTAAGTTCTGACTTCTCCAAAACTTGCAGAAATACAAACTCATTTTTATTTACTTACAGTCACTAATAGATCTGACTTTTAACTTAAAAGAGGGTGTGTGGGGGAGTGGGGGGAACCATTTAGCTTTGCCAAGAGAAGAGTAAAGGAGACCATGACTTAAACATTTGCAACGTGTTCTCCTTGGTGGAGACATTAGCCAGTGTTTAGTTTCAGGCCAAGTTATACAAACAGAGTATTGATTTGTATGCATTCTGGAACCTTGCTGCATCACGGTTTGCCATGGTGTGGGATTCAGCCTAGCCTGGGGCAATTTGAACCTCATTCAAAGTTGAATAGTTACTGGAATCTTTGACATTGCCTTGTAATGAGGTACTTCCATGAGAAGACACCTGAAGATGGATAACAGTGAGGTCTCTGTGTGCATATGCATAATATATATGCAGGAAAAAAATGTGTGCACCAATCAAACCTAAAATTTTATGTGACTGTCAAATGGATATTACTTGGGTTAAGATTTTTCATTTCTGATTTGGATAGAAAATTGCTATTAATCTTGTATTAAAATAGTTTTTAAAAATCTACCAGTGCCCTTTCTGCATTTTCTTAATTATTGTCATAGCCTACATTTCAGAGTTTTTTAATTTCTCCTTGTTTGAGAGCTTTTTAGAAACTGCAATATTAAAAGAAAGAAAAAGAACCATAGATTAAATCAGCACCACTCTCCTAAATATCCTTGGCTTTTGAAATCATGAACTTTTAGAACTTTGGAACATTTAAGAGCTTCCCAAATGTCTTTCTCCTTTTGTATTGGTTTCTTCTCAGAGATAAAATTTAGTGGCTTGAGAACTGATGTCAATACTTTAGCAATGAGGTGAGAAAAATAAGATAATATGTGAAAAGACTAACCATTTCCAAATTCAGCAAATTGCATTGATTTTTTTTTATTTCTGAAAGTTTCCATGCTATCAGGAATGCTAAATATTGTATGACATGCTAAAGATTCATTTAACAGATATTTATTAAACTCCTATTCTGTGCTTAACCTGCTCAAGGTGCTGATCACTGGTTATCAAAACCACCAGTTGGAAATGATTCATTCTCTACAACAATTAACCATGGTTACTACAAATACATCACTTATTTCAAGAATGCTCTTTTAAATAAAGGAAACCGTATAAATAAATTTATCAAGACTTACAACCTTTAACCATAAGCATAACCATAAGCAATATTTTAATTTAGTTCACATTATTACTATTTTGGTTTCTAATGAGAAAAGCGATTTCTACAAAAGAATTAAGAAACTTTAGAATAATTCCATATAAAACCAGAATATAACAAATTTTATTTGGAATTCGACTGAACCCAATTTCACGGAAAGAAAAACATCGAAATGGTCTTGGGGGGAAAAAAATAATAATAATAAAACCACCACTGAGATTTTTATCAGGTAACAGCAATATTTATTTTAATTTGCTCTTTCAATAAATGGACTGAGGTATAGTCAAAATACACTCACAAATATGAAAGATGGCTTTAATTTTTGTAAAATACCCATTTGTTAAGTAGTGACAATTAGACATGGATTATTGTTTCCGGCTCGAGAGCTAGAAAGATGTACCCACAAGTTTGTCCACTCAGGCAGACGTTCACAATTCATTTAGTGTGGATGCCTTTCCATTCCATAGACATACTTATTTGTTTACATA